CAACAAATGTTATATCTGGTCTAGTGCTGTTAGCCAGATACATTAGTGCACCAATAGCACCTAAATATGGTACTTCAGGACCAAGTGCTTCTTCATTCACCTCTTTTGGTCTAAAAGAATTTTTAATAGGATCGAGAGTTCTAACGACCATTGGAGTACTTAATGAATGTGGTTTATCAATTGCAAATCGTTTCAATACCTTCTAGGTATCTGCAGATTGATGTATCAAAATTCTATTTTTCAAATGTTTAATTTGTAGACCAAGACAAAATTTTGTTCTCCCAAAATCTTTAATTTCAAACTCCCTTTTCAAATATTCAATAGTTTTTTTAACCTCTCCAAAGGTTCCAATTAAATTCAAGTTATCCACATAAACAACTATTATTTCAAAATTTCTCCCATATTTCTTTATAAAAACACACGGACAAGTAGAATCATTTGCATATCTCTCTTTCAATAATGATTCATTGAGACGATTATATCACATACGACCAGATTGTTTGAGCTCATACAAATACTTATGTAATTTAATAGAATAACATTCTTTTGGCTTTGATTTGTATGCATCAGACATACAAAATCCTTCAGGGATTTTCATGTATATATCATTATCTAACGAGTCATATAAATAGGCAGTTACAACGTTCATCAGACGCATATCCAAATTTTCATGTACTCCCAAACTGACAAGATATCGAAATGTTATTCCATCAATTACTAGAGAATATGTTTCATTAAAATCAACTTTAGGTCTTTGTGAAAAACCTTGAGCAACAAGTCATATTTTATATCTGGCAATTTCATTATTCTCATTTCGCTTTCGAACAAATACCCATTTATAGCCAACAGGCTTAACATCTTCAGGTGTTTGAACGATGGGTTCAAAAACTTTCTGTTTTGCCAGTGAATTTAATTCAGACTGGATCGCATCTTTCCATTTTCGCCAATCTATTATTTTCCGACATTCATCAACTGATCTAGGTTCTGGATCATCGTCATTTTCCATTATATCAAGTGCTACATTATATACAAAAGTACTATCCATAATTGTATCATTTCGGTTCTAATACTTTGCAATAATAACATAATTTATTGAATTTTCAATAATTTCATTCTCTTCAAAAGAAATTTTATTAGGATTAACATCCTCAGCAAGTTTATCAGTATCAATTTCTTCATAAATCTGATCCATGTTACTATCTGTTTCTTGAGGATTTTGATTAACATTTAAATCCTCAACCCTTTCATTCATTCATCTTTTCTTTAGAGGATTTTTTTATCTTTGGAACCTACAGGTCTGCCACGCTTTAGTCGTGCATTTGATTCATTAGCACTTTGTATATTGTTTCTAGGAATAACAATTTTAGCAGGTACATTTTCAGCAGCTATATAAGATCTAGTGACCCTGCTGGCATCACAAAAATAATCAGGCAACTGATTTGCTATTCGCTGCAAATGTAAAATTCTTTGCACCTCTAATTCACTTTGACTTGTACGAGGATCAAGAAAACTTAATGGTATTTTCCAAGTAATTTCCTTTTTCAGTTGATCAGTTTCTCCCCTTAATGTCGGGTAATGTGACTTGTCAAAATGACAATCAACAAAACGAGCCGTAAACAAATTACCAGTTAATGGTTCAAGATATTTAATGATAGATGGTGATTCGTACCCGACATATATCCCCAATCTCCGTTGGGGGCCCATTTTTGTACGTTGGGGGCGGTGCAATTGGCACATAAATTGCGCACCCAAAAGTTCTCAATTGTGAAATATTGGGTTTTTCATTGTACACTAATTGTACTGGGAAGTAGCTATGATAGCTTGTCGGTCTTAATTTGATCAGTGTTATTGCATGCATAATTGCATATCCCCAAGCAGAGACAAGAAGTTTGGATTTCATCAACATAGGTCTTGCAATTAACTGCAACCGTGTTATAAGTGATTCAACTAGATCATTTTGAGTATGTACATGAGGTACAAGATGTTCAATGTTAATTCCAATAAACATGCAATAATCATCAAACGTCTTGGATGAAAATTCACCAACATTATCAAGACGAATTTTTTTTATTGAATGATCTGGAATCTGAGCTCGTAATTTAATTATTTGAGCAAGCAACCTCAAAAATGCCAAATTGCGGGTGGATAATAAACACACATGCGACCATCTAGTAGATGCATCGATAAGTACCATAAAATATTGAAATGGTCTGCATGGTGGATCTACATGCTCACATATATCACCCTGAAATCTTTCTAAAAATGAAGGGGATTTAGTTCCCACTTTTGCTGGTAATGGTTTAGTTATTAACTTTCTTTTTGAGCAAGCAACACATTTAAGTTCATTTGTATTTAATAACCTTTGATCTTTCAAGTTATGGTCATTGGTATTTTTAATAATTCGTCTCATCATAGTATTACTGGGATGCCCAAACCGGTCATGTCAAATCATAACATCTGTAGACTTCTAGTCTACCAGATATGTTTCAATTGCATTAATCTTTGTGTAATATAATCCGGAAGACAATGAAGACAATTTTTCTAATATATATTTATATCCATCAATGAATTTTGTAATCAACAAAAATTCATTATTTGTCTCACTTGATGTCTCAATATGATTTCTACGAATATCATTAAAACTCAACAAATTTCTTTGAGATTTACTAAAATATAGTGCACTTTGGATATCAAGTTTTACTTATTCAGGGAGAAATATTATTGTTCTTCCATAATCCTCAATTAATTTTGCACAACCATTTATAATATTCACCTCAATTTTTCCCAACTTCAGGTTGGTGAAATGTTTCTTATCTTTCAAAATGGTGTGCGTTGATACACTATCAATGAGACATGAATTGTCTTTCATATTATTCATTATAGCGTGTTCAGCATTCATACTCTTCTTCTGGGAGAAATATAAGAATAAATATATCAGAAATTTGAAGAAAATACATAGCTGTCATATTATTACAAAATATAGGGAGCAAAGAACTACATGTGTTACAAAAATATAGACATATATCTATATATGTACTATTATATCGCACTTTCGAGATTTTCATAGTATCCACCTTTAGGGTGTACTAGAAAATCAGATACATCTAATTGTGTATTATCAGTATATTTATCACCCCCACTACCACTGACAATGTTACTTTGTTTTTCCGTTTCAGGGAATTTTGATACAGCTCAACGAAATAAAAATTGGAACAACAATTTCTGAACCAATGTCCTGTCATTCTGCAGCGATTAACACTGATTTTCTTTGAACTCTGACCAACATCATTCTGAGGCCGCTTCAGGGGTCTATTTGGTTCCTGATCATCAAAATATCCCTGACGGTAGTAACGCGAAACAAACCTGCCACGTCCACAGTCGGCTCCGCATCCACGACTCAATCCATGTCCACTGCCTTGTTCGCGGTAGAATCTAGGTATATTATTCAAACACTGAGTCACATTCACTTCAAGGAATGGACTTGCACCAGTTGGCCTCGATTCATGATTTTTCAATAATAATTCGTTATTCTGTTCAGCAACAAGGAGACAAGTAATAAGATCACAATATTTATTAAAACCTCTTTCTCAATATTGTTGTTGTAAAACTATATTAGAGGCATGAGACGTAGTGAACGTTTTTTCCAACATATCCTTATCAGTAATATTTTCTCCACAAAATCTTAACTGGGACGTGATTTTGAACATCATAGAATTATAATCGGAAACTGTTTTAAAATCTTGCAACCGCAAGTGTTGCCATGCGTGCTTTGCTTTTGGCAATATGACATATTTCAAGTGTCCAAATCGATCTTTCAAATTTGTCCCTAATTCAAATAGATTTTTCACCATTAAATATTTCATTTCGAGGGCTCCGTCAATATGATGACGCAAGAAAATCATTGTCTTTGCACGTTCTAGATTTGTGCATTCATTTTCACTAATTATTGTTTTCGAAAGCCTCATGTATTCGAAATGCATTTCGACATCCATTATCCACGGCATATAATTACTTCCGGTAATTACTAGTGGGGAAAATTCAAATTTTTCTATATTATACATGATTAAAAGAAAATAAATAAACTTACCAAAAATTTCGCACCCTTTCGAGTAACCTAAAAAAATATACAACAAAAAAAACAACAAAAAAGAAATACGCTATCTTTATATGCACTTCTTCGGCAAAACCTTGTGCTGATAACGTGTTATAAAATATAAAACAAAATATCAAAATACTACTACTAATAATAACATATAATAATAATAATAATAATAATATAGATATTATAATATATATATAGATATGTAATAAAGTATGTATATATATATAATCTAGAGAGATATCGAGAGAGGAGAGAGGGAGTGATAATTGAGATCACTAATTCTATCACATTTCACAAAATCCACCGGGCATTTAAGAATGACATAAATTGAGTCATAACAATTTGTTTGATTTTGGTATAAAATCAAAATAATTACTACCAATATTATATACAAAAGGAGCAGCATCATTTGTGATGAGTTGATTGCATTAAAAATATCATTATATTTTAATAATTAAATTGTATTTGTATTATAAAAAACTTATAAAACTTCTTTTGTCATGATATAATAATTAATATTCAAATATCGACGCACAAAACGCTAATGATACTCTTGTTATGGAAGTATATTATTTTCACATAAAAATACTATTTATGGTAATAACAAGTAATATGGTTTATGCCATAACTTAAAACATTATTCATTAAAATTTATGACTAATGACAATGGTTACATCATCAAAATACATACACAATAATCAAACAATATAGTCATAGTTATCAGAAAAACCTCTGCCAACACAACAATGAGCAAAAATCCCTACCCTCACAGTCAGTTCCTCAATATATCTTTCAATTTTGTAACATAGCATTATGCTTTTTTGACTCCAATACTGCAATATTTCTATCATCCCCAATTTAAATATATATAGCAAAATCCATAAACATACGAACAACATAATCAACAACATGCCAACAAATGCATTTAATCCTATCCCCATTCTTGTTTCAGTAAAAACAGGACAAAAGGAACACAAATAGATCAAATCCAAAGACACAGAGATAAACAAAACAACACAGATGTCGTCACCCTAATCTTCGGAGAAGATCGGTGGCAACGACAAAACATTTCGAACATATGATAATCAGAGGAGATACAAGTTCAAGCAATGTTGTTGTTGTTGTTGACTTGATACAAAGACAGTAAAATACAGGCAGGCAGTATATGTTATATTAGTTAAATCAAAAGGCTGTTCACTAACCTGAATAACTGTGTAGTCTCTGGTGGCGGCCGAAGATCGCTAGCTAGCTTTTATCCGATGGTGCGAGGGCAGAATGGCGAGATCAGTATTCTGTTCGCTTCCACGCCGATGCCACAAGAAGAGAACTTCTGGATGGACCGTTTTAAATCATTCTTCGGGTGCCTGTTCATCCTTTCTGTCATCCTCGTATATGTTCTTGATCCATCTCCGGACAAAATTTTTACCGTCAACACGCCTTCCTGAATTCATCTTAAAGTTAATTTTTTTCCACTTCTCCTGACTCAGAAACTCCGGCCTGTTCGGTGGTGGTGTTTCCATTGCCATCAACTGCTTTCACAAACTCAACACCATCATCATCATCAGACTCCGTGAATTCAATTCCTTTGACGTCTGACATTGCTTGAAGGATTTCTGGAGGAATGGCTGCCGAATCTAGCTCACGATAACCCCTGGCAGATCTCAGTCGGTCTTGATCAGTGAGGAGGCGGGATGGCACCTGATGGGAGAAGCGGGATAGTTCTTGATTTGGAATTCTTTTTATTTCCGATGAATCCATGTGTTGATGAAAAACTGCTTTGAAGCCAGCAACTTTAACCAGGGGAACTACGATTACCCCCAACTCTTCGTCGTAGTCTTCCAGTACTTCAACAAAGTCGTATTCATGTATTGCTTCATCTTCGGTGAGTTCATTCCACTCAGGCGACCAATTTCGGTACAAAGCCCAGACATCCCCTTTCTTTGGAAATATTTGAAAGGTCTTCGAGGTGCGTTTCGTACATCTAACACGGTGTGAGAATGAGTCCACCGAGTCAAATATTTCAGGCCTGCCAATTCCAAATTCCCCGCATGTCTTTGAAAAACCATTTAAGAACCAATTTACATGTCCCAGCCCGGAGTGTGTTAGAGAATGAAGCCAACTCATCTTCACTTTAAAGGGATGCAGAGATATTACATTGTGAATCAAGGCGTAGAGTCGCGGCATCCCATCATCACCATCATATACAGCCCAGACATCGTTGTCCCTGATACATTCTTCTGTCCTGTCCTTATCGAAGTTGTAGAAATCACTACCTAAGACATTTACTGGCATTTCTGTGACCCCCTTTGTGTCTCGCCAACAGCCTGAAGACCCATCATCAAGCTTACTCGGAGGACCATGCTCAGTACTTCCATCTTTCACATCTACCATTTCATTTTCTTTGATATTTTTACATACCTTCTCAGAAGCTTCGTTCTTTTTTACAGTAGTTGAAGTGCTATCATTCAGATTCTTAAATATTTCATCACAAGCTTTAACCATTAACAACTGTTTAAAATCAACATGACATACACCATCATGCATGCTCGTACACTTCTGCAGGCGATCATGTTTAAGATCAGAGTGATGAGTTCCACTTTTACAGTTCACCTGACTCACGGACTCTTTGTTCGTTCCACAATCATCAATCCCTCTTCTTTTCTTGGCAACATTGCACTGCCCCGATGATTCTGCACCCTGTGGTCTTTTGTATCCGTGAGTTTTCTTTTGTAATGCTGCCTCTTTTTTCGCAGCAGCATGTGCTTTAATCCTTTCTCGCTTAATTTTCTCATACGCCTGCTGAACCATATTTGCAGCTTGAGCAGCAGATCTGGTGCCATTTGATTCGGAGAAAGGAACCCACTGGAAGTCATTAGCATTGGACCCATTGGAATGACTCACCCCAGAAGTTCCTTGTTGAGCAGCCGTGTTTCTCTTAGCATCAAATCCCTTGCTCAAATTCTTCCATTGCTGAGAATTTTTCAACTCGGTTGATACCTTTGTACCTTTAGTTGATGGAGGATTAATTTCAATAGCAAAGTAGGCCTCCTTGCAATTAGGGCAGAGAAGATTGTGATTAAGATACACTCTGAGGTATTCATATTGCATCTTGCACCAATGACATACCGTCCAGAAAGTACTTCGCTCCTTCCTACGCAACGAATGGGCACCAGAGGAAGAATTCTTCTTACTACTACTCTTCGTAGTCTTCATGTGTGAAGCTGCAGAGTTTGCAAAATCATAGAATCCACTCTGTGCTGACGGTTGTGGCTGTTGAGAAGGAGCCCCAGTCTTCGCCTTATTCTTCTTTGTACATCTCTTGTCGTACGCTATTCTCTTGGACTTATCAGACAGTAAACTCCATGCTTGCGAGACGAGTTTAAATGCCCCTTCAGCCCCAACAGATCTATTTTTATCAGGATGGAGCAGGAGAGCCAGTTTCCTGTATTGTTTCCTTATAGTCTCCTCATCTGCTAAAGGAGTCACACCGAGCACACCGTACCAATTTGATTCTCCATTTGGTTTATCCTCTTCAGCACACATATACACATCAAAAGTCGCCACCATTTGAGAAATACCCTCTAGCTCGGGATACAAATTCTGCGCCTTGAGAGCAAATTTCCTCGCCCCCTTGATGTCCTTTGCTAGAAATTTTCTTTCAGCAATTTCTTTTGCTCTCAACCCCTCATCTCTGTTACACTCCATCCACACAAAACCACTTCACACTATTTCAAATCAATATTGAGGCAACATAAACATCCAACTCACTGCAAACTTGCAATCAGAGAATCACTCAAAACTCCATCCCATCAGTCGAATTCATGGCATAACATTCAGGTATACAAATCAAAAGGTTTTGATCTGCAAAAGTTGCACAAATCAAAGAAATGAAATCATGTCTGTAGTAAAAAAACACAAATGGCATTATAAATCCCCCAAACAACATACACACATACATCCCTAACTCAAATCCTAATAAGCTGAATACTACTACAATACAAATTCAAATATCTTACCAACTAAACACATTTAAACTACAGGCAAATAAATCCGAACAGATATTCATATCATATGCTACCGAATTGAAAAACAAAATCGGGAAAACAGCAATACCAAAATAAACGTTCTCAATGCTGAACTTCATATAAATTAACACCGCAAACAGAATCACATTTCTTTCGGCAGAAATACAAACCCTAAACTCACGATCAGTTCCAGAAAAAACACCAATACATCTGAAGCAAAAACCGAGGGTTACCCTATGCGTGCAACAGGATTGTGTGGCTCGTCTACCAAATTGAAGCCAGGAACTTCATCGATTGCAAAATCCACTTCGCCCCAAATTCCCAACAAAATTCGAAATCCCTCGCTGAGAAAACCCAAAATCCCCCGCCTCCGACTTAGCAATTGCACCTTAATTTTTTTCACCGATAAAAATAAAGAAAATAAAAAATAAAAAATAAAAGGTGCCGCTGCTATAAAAACACTTAAAAAAGGCACAATTCGGGCAGCCCTTTGTCTTCGACTACTTCCAGTCGGTTTCGAACCGGCGGTTCCAAACTCCGGTCCTCCGGTTCAAACCGGTGGTTCCGGTGGAATAGAACCGAACCGGTTTTGAACAGTTCCTCATTTCTCCTCTCCAAACCGTAAACCGTCGGGTTTGCGGTTCGACCGCCGATTAATTCTCCGTCACCGGAGCGGAGCAGCAGGTGGGTGAAAACGAAGAAGAAGAAGAAGAAGAAGGAGGTAAAAAAGGAAGGATGAAAGGAAAGAATGAGGGAGGAAGAGAAGAGATAGGGAAAGAACCTGTTGCAGCGGCGCTGTGGATGTGTAATGCCTTAATTAGGGGCAAAATATTTTATAATAATAATACTAATAATTTAGTTATAACTAAAAATTATTATATATTTATAAAAATAAAAATAATACTAATATTAATAAATAATAAATAATTATTAATAATATATATTTATATTTTAAATTTTATAACCTTTTATTCTATATTATACAGTATTTAATTGTATTATTATTTAAACATAAATATTTTTTTTATAATTTACTTATATTTATTTTAATTCAAAATTGAATTTAATTTTTTATTAAACTTACTAATTAATTATCGTTTATACTGTAATAATTTAATTAATTACTGTTTTTATATAATTTTTACACAATAAATACATAATAAATATATATAAAAATAAAATTGAAATTGAAATTAGCAGTTTTTTAATAAAATTGAAAATTTAAAAGATTAGAAAGTAAAAATATATTAAAAATAAATAAATATAATTGGGCCATTCAAATTGAAATTGATATTTTTAAATTATAATTAAAATAGTTAAATTAAAATTAAAATTATTATTCAAAATATTTGATTTTATATGTTAGAGTATTGACAGTGGATTGTTTGTCGAAGACTTTTCTCAACCCGTCAATGGCTTCCTTACCTTCGGCAAAAATTTTGGTCTACAATGGTATTTAAAATCGACAATAAAAAAATCTATTTTAAAATTTATTACCCTTTGATATTTCTCATCAACACGTAACATTTATATGTCAGCAGAGATATTTATATTATTCAACTACTGTGTGTGCTCAAAATTAGGAAAAGTCATGTCGTATTCGTCTTCGGTGGAGTAATGTTGTTTTCGGTTCCGGTAGAGAGTCATCTTAATTTCGGCTTCCGTTTTTTTGCTCCGATGGAGTCATGTTGTTTTCAACTCCGGTACTTTTAATCTATTTTTTTAATGTGAAATAGAGATATTTAAGTTATAATTTTAATAAAAATGATTAAATTCTTTTTTAAAAAATGTTTTGAAATAATTTGAAAATAGATGCAAAAACATGATAACAGTTCACCTGCCCTCTTAAGTCAATCTCTCTTATACCATTCAAAGACATAATGATATCCATATATTTACTTATTTATTTTTATTAAAATTATATTTACTACATAATTAAATTTGAGTCATAGCTAATGTATAATGTATAATTATATATAAGAATTTAGTGGAGCTCACATAAAAAAAATTTATGCATTTTTTGATTTATAATTTTTTTAATTTAAACTTTTTTTTCTATTTTTTAAAGTGCATTAATAGGTATTCAAAATTGTAAGTTTATATAGTTTTTAGGTGTGTTAGTCGATATTTACGGTTTTTTAAATTTATATTTAATTTTTTTTAATCTTACAATTTGTTTGTTGCAGTTACTATTTTCAACCCATCAATTTTTTAATCTACTAATTTTTAAATTAATTTTTTTTATAAAAAAATTCATTCTCATCATTTTTATATTTTCTTGGAACCAATTCTCGATTAGAATTAAATTATTTTTTAACGTAATATTTTTTTATTATAGGAGTAAGACACCGGATCTTGGAGGAGACTATCGCTTGGACGTTGGAAACCGTTTGCCGGAGCAGTGCTTTCGGTTATTATTATGTCAAAATTTTGTGATTTATTTTGTGTTTTGTTTTATTAGTGATCTTTACTTTTTAATTTTGGTTAGGTTTATTGATTTATTTTCATTACCAAATACTTTTGTATTCCCAAAGTTATATTCATTGTTGTCCAAGAAGATTATTGTCTTAACATTGGATACAGTTGATTTTGTTATCGAAGTTTTCAAATTATATGTGAAAAAAAAAAATGTTTAAACTACTTTGTATCAACAATCTTATGAACAATTTTGATATTTTTATTTTTACATTAATATCTTTTATATATTTGTGTCGACAATTTTATGAAAATTTAATATATGAAGTATGATTAGATTGTATCAGCTCATTTATAACTATTTTGTCAAATTTTTTCATTAATTTATTCTTTCATGGATAACAAAACTATGAAGTATGATTAGATTGTATCAGCACATTTATAACTATTTTGTCAAAAAATTTTATTAATTTATTTTTTCATGGATAACAAAACATTAGAAAAATTTTAATAAAGAAGATGAAAGAAATTGGAGAAAAAACTAAGGTATATGAATATGATATAAATAATAATAAATATTTATAAATATTATTGAAGTTTTTATAATATTTGCATGAAGGTTTTTGTCTATAAATATGGAGAAATTGAAATTAAATTCATTAATTTTCTTTTTGAAATATTAAAATAATTTTTAGATAATTTGTTTTAGATAATGTATATATACTACATTAAAAAAAATTGAATTATTCTCGTATATATATATATTTATATTTCTTTTAAAATTTCTAAAAAATAAAATACAATTTTTACAACTATTGATATTGTCGTAATTACTTAAACATGAACAATATACTATAATTTAGCCAAATAAAAATAATACATTTTTGTATGTTTTTTTATTTATAGTTTTACTTTAATTGTTATTTGTTTTACATAAAATTCTTTTATAAGGTAAAATTAAAAATACTTTATCTTTTGTATTTAATATTAATTATACTTAATTTCTTAAATTTTCAAATCATATGTTGCATGATTCTTATATGAAATTCTTTATCTTAATTTGTTTGATCTATGGTGAGTATTCATTTATAATTTTATTTTTATTTTCACTTTCTATTCTATATAAATTTATTGATTTTATTTTATTTTTTATATATTTTACAATATTTCGGTTTTAATTTATTTGTGAGTAATTTTTACATATAAAAGTGATTAGTTTTTATTTTTAGTATCAATTATATGTAAATTACTAAAGTATTTGAATACATTTTTTATTATTCTTATATGAATTTATTTCCCATAAGAATCATTAATTTTATCATTTTCAAGAAGATATTCGGTCACATTGAGTATTATAATAATTTTTATTTTTTACTTTTTAATTTGTATAAATAATTTGATATAATTTTATTATTATTATTATTACTTTTTAATAAGTTTTGCATATAATGTGATTTTTACTTAATTTTTAAGTATTTAAATTTCATATTGCATGAATTTTATATGATTTTGTTATCCATGTTATTAGGGTGAGTATTTATTTATATCAATTTTTACTTTGATTTCTACTTTCTATTATATATAAATAAATTGATATAATTTTATTTTTGATATATTTTGCATGGTTCTTATTTGTTTGCTAGTAATTCTTACACATAAAAAGTTATTTATTTTTATTCTTAGTATTAATTATTATTAATTAATAAAATATCAAATATAATTTTGCATTATTTTTATAAAGTTAATTATACTAAAATTCCCAACTTTCAATTTATTTCTTTGTATATTCCTATTTATAATTTTTTTTTCCTTCCAACTCCCCTATTTAGTATTTATTTTCTATAACTCTCTATTTATAAAATTCATCTATAAATATCCTATTTTACCCTCAAAATAATATATATATATATATTTATTTATATTTATATAATCCAAAATTTTACACACGAATAATATTGGATCATGTTGAAAGTGATTGTCTCTGTTGGTTTTGAGTAAATTTGGAGCCAACAGATACAACAATACAAATTATAATTTTTACATATCGACGACAATGAAAATTGAAAATTGAAGTACAAAGTTTTAAAATTTGAATATATCACTTTTCATTAGGTTTTTTTTTTTTTGACAATTGATAATGAACCTAGGGATGCCAACTTAAACTACTATAGTCGAGCATTAATTTCACGCATCAAAGTCGAACCTATGGCTAGGTGGCTTCTAATATTGATTTGGGTTCAACATCTAGACAAATATGACACATTTCAGCATGACAGATAGTATTAGTTATGTTTAATTTTTGGCATTAAATTGGTATGAACTAAATTGTTGTTTATACTTAAAAAAATATATTTTGTCAAATGAAGGTTTATAATTTTTGAATTCATTTAAAATACCTTTTAATGATGCATCTAGTACTTTATAAGATATTTGAAATATGACTTATTGTTTTACATATATTTTATTCTATCGAAACCAATATTTCTTTATAAATATATATATGGTATTTCTTTTTTATTTAGTTGTTATGGTATGAATTTTCGTTATTGAATCAATTGGTTCATTGCGTAATAATGTCATCAAGATTGAGTGTCATATAGTTCACAATTGTTATTCAAATTTATTAGTGTTCATTCTATATATATCTTCCATCATAACACCTTAAACCCCAAGTAAGGAATCAACTTGCATAGGTATACATAAACAATATATTAATTATTTGTTGTATTTTATTATTTTTGAAAAGATATTCAATTATGGAAAATATGTAGTTAAAAAATAATTCATTTTTACTTAAAAATTTTTATAAATATTTTAATACTATGATTTTATTTTTACATATATTTTTCAAATCGGTTGTCATTTGTTTTGTGAAGATTCTTTTAATTGTTATCTCTATTGATAATTCTTTTTATTTGTTGATATTTAATAAAAAAATTAAAATTAAAAATTTATTTTTATCTTTAATATTAATTATAGTTCATAATTTAAATTTTTGTATTTAAAGTAAATCATAATGACAATTTTCCAAAAAAAAAAAAAATTTAAACATATAGACTCATATATAAAATATATATATTGAATAATATAATTGTTTTCTATAGTTTTTTTAATTAAAAATATTTTGCATGTAATTTATTTATTTATTTAAATAACAAATTATATGGATTAACATACAAATACGAATAAGAAAATAAAAGTATTAATGGATACTCTAACATAAAAAAAAAAAAAAAATGTAAATATGTGAGATGTCTATAGCTCTGTACTCCAAACCCTATTTTTCAATTGCGATTTCTAAAAAATAATAATAAACAATATAAAATATTTTTTACAAAAATCAAAAAGTAAAAAAAAAAACATTCAAATACTCGTTACAAAAAGTC